GTTCCGCTTTCGCGTGACGACGGGCGAAATAATCCGACACGGGGCCGTATTTTACACGTTTACACGCATTTTGTTCCACCTCGACGAGGTACATAGAGGAAGAAATCCGAGGAAGGAAGGACAGGGATGGTTCGCGCCTGGAAAAGTCAACGAACCGCTTCGAAGGCTCCTCCTTGAGCATCTGGATGAAATTAACTCTCTCTTCCGCAGACAGACTGTCTGCTGCTGCTGCCGCTGCCGCTCGTTCTCGCCTTCTGCGATATTTTTCGAAAGGAGCGTACTTGCCTACTGACAGAACGACGAATCGAGGATTAAGCGACCCATTACATCTGGAAATCTACTGTTCCTCGATTTGGGGAGGAATACCCGATGGTTTTGGTAAGTTTAACACTTTGACTGGTGACTAATTTCGAGCACGGGTCCTCCGAGCTATTCAACCTATTAACTCTTTTATCTCAGGACAGATTTAACAGCTGCAAACGTTCATTTGTACGATTGTACGTACTATATGGCTAATAAGAAATTAGCGTAAATATCTTGGTAATTCGAGAAGGTTGAAAGACTTCAGTATTTCGTTTAACCAAATTTGAATATAAATTACAAAATTACGATACCCTTATTGATATATACATGCACACGTTATTCAACTACCCCCGAATGCAACGAAAACATTAAAAAAAAGCAGCTAATTCGCTGGTCTGATGAATGACAAAATCGCGGCGGAAAGACAAACCCCGGAGCAATGGCGGACAATAGCTGGCGCGTCGGGGAAAAAAGGCGTGGGGCCGCGGAAGCAGTAGGAGGCAGAAACGTTGAAAAGCGTTGAATTCGTCGCGCTGGATTTATAGGTAATTATTTTTCTCGAACGTATCCATGCTTCTGTAGATAGATGTAGACGTCCATGGAGGTTGCGTACGCGGGCAGGGGGTGGTGGTGAACGTGTTTCGTCAAGCGAATATCTCCGGCGAACGAGAGCCACCGCTGGGCGTGGAAACTAAAGCCTGATCATGTCGCGGATGTACATTTTCTACGGGGATCGTATTCAGGAGAACGACAGAGAACGAGAGAGAGAGAGTAAGAGAGCGAGAGAGGGAAACGTGGAGTGGTGGAGAACGTGCTGATGCAGCCAAAAGGGGGAGGGTGTGAGGGTGTATAACGCGACAATTGCCGGATACGACGATTCGCGCGAATCGCGCGCACAAGGACTTAGCTAGCCCGTGTACGTGAATCCTCTTGGTGAGGCCGAGTGGAACGGTGGATCCGGCAGTACGAGGATCAGGCAAGATACGTTGGTACAAATAGGATAGACATAGGAGAAAGAGAAAGATGGTGAGGGCGAGGGGTTGTATAGATACATCCCTGCGGCGGTGGTTTGTAATATTATGATAACCCTCCCTGGCTGGCTGGCTGCCTCACCCCTACCTCGTTTCCCTCCTACGCGTCCCAGGCTGCGCGGCCACCCTCTTTCAGCGGCCATGTTGCCGGGAAATATGATTATTGTTATTATTTGCACCCTCCTTCGACCGCATCCTCCTGACTCCTCACCTCCTCGTGGCAATCCTCTCTCATCCTACCGCTGTTCTCTCTCCCACTTTCTGTCTTTCTTTCGCCTCCATCGTTCCCGAGCTATCATGCTGCTCGCAAACTCTACCACTCTTCCGTCTCTTTTCCTTCTCCATCTGATATTCCTTCTCCTGCTACCACACGCTCATCCTACCCGATCAAACTCCATCCTCTCTCTCTCTCTCTCTCTCTCTCTCTCTCTCTTCTCTTGCTCGTCTCCAGGCTCGCCTCTCTTGCGAAACGGACGCTTCTCTCTACGCTCGACGAATCGAGAGGAAACGAACGAGAACAGGTCGTAGGCAACCAGCCGTTAACGGTGGTTCTCTCTTTATCGTGTTTCTCCTATACCTCTGTTACCTTCCTTCAGTCTTTCACGTCCGTGCTGCCGCTTCGCGAAACTTTACGACGCGAAGTACCGTCTCCGCGACGCGCTTTTCACACACATCCCCTCCCTCGATCTTTTTGTTCCCTCTGATCAGTTTGATTCCGCTGCTTCTTTACACTTTTTCTCCTTCTTTTTCTCTTCTTCTTCACCGGGCGTTTTATACTTTTTATTTTTTCCACGCCTCTCATCCCTTCGTCCTCGTCTATTTTCTCCGTTCTCGACCAACGCGCTCAGTTCATCCGCAACTCGTCCCTGCGGAAACGTTTCATCGACCGAGACCATCGTTCCTCCTTCCTGCTCGTTTTTCTCGCAACTCTCCTCCGGGCTTTTTTTCACCAGCCCCCCGTTCCCGCCCGAAACTTTCCTCGCGTGACTAATATTGAGAAGTATCTCACCGCGACGAAAGAGATAGAGGGAGAGAGAGCGCGACTGATAAACGCGAACTTTCTTCCCCCTTCTTCCACCGAGCAGTTGGAGGAAATTCCTTTAAACGTAATATTCGTGTATAACTTCCCGCTATAAAACCTGAAGAAGAGGGAGAAGAAAGAGAAGAAAAAAAGAAAAACAGCGAAGGCAGCCCATCCTCCGTAAAATCTGGACTTCAAACTTAACCATCCTCTGTGCTCCGCACACAAGCCATTTCCCGCAAATTCGACTAATCGCGTTATTCGACCTCCGTGCTATCTCACACGTACAACACCGGGGGTAGCGGTAAGTGTAACGAGAACCCCCGGTGGCGTGACGTAAGAAAGTAGAAGAAATAAACGAACAACCATGCTACATAGAGGGAGGTGCAGGAGGAGGGAGTGGTGGCGCGAACGACGAAGGAACGAACGAGCCCAGGAGTAGAGAAAAGAAGAAGGAAGGAAACGGGGCAAAAAGGAAGGGAGCAAGGAGGTGGTGGTCTCGTAGTAGTCGCGAGAGTCGTGGTAATAAATGGGCAACACGAGCGCTTATAAGGGGTAGGTAATCTAAAGCTTTCGAGGCGGCGGCAGCGGGGAACGTCAGAGAAAGCGAGGAAGATGGTGGGTTGCGGAGATGGGAGCGACGAGGTGCGGGCGAGGTGAGGTGAGGTGAGGGCACACGGTGTGTGTAGGATGAGAGAAGAGAGAACCCGGTTTGGAGGAGGAGACCACGGGAGGAAGGGGGATAAGGGTGGTTACGGTGAGGGTGTGAGATAAGGTATAAGGTGGGTAAGATGGCGGACAATTTGCCGCTCGACTACTCTTGCCCGCACCCCTCCCTCGACGATTCCAACCCCGTAGCCCCCCTCTGGCCCGTGTACCGGGTAATAGATGTTCCTCCTTCGCGACCAACAGAGAAACGTTGAACGCGCGCGCAAGCACCGTTTCCTCCCCTCCCCTCCCTTCGTCTAGATTCCCTCTCCCTCCCACTCACGTGAAACACCATTCCCCCCCGCGCCCTCACTCATCGCTCGCTGTTCTCTGTCTCTTTCGGTATCGCGCGATACCCTCCTCGCGGGCTTTTCCTCCGTCCCTTTTCCTGGCTGGTGTATAGTCGTATAGTGCTACGCGGTAGAAATGCGCATGAACGTATGCATGCCTGTACGTATGTATGTACGTGTACAGCCGACGATGAGAGAGAATGTCACGCGTGCACACGGGACAGGAGACGAGCACACAGGGCGACGGAAAGTTGCGGCCGCGTGTTCGCATATACACGGGGAAAACTGGCTCCGCGGGTATTCACGTCCGCGGTACGTAGGTATTTTAAACGCTCTCCACACCGTCACCTGCCCGCCGCGCCACTGCTGCTCTCTCACTCCCGGCCTAGCCGCCAGACCGCACCAGCATGCTCTCTCTTAGCATTCCATCCGCCATCTTCTCACTTAATAAAATAATTACCCCAGGCCAATTAAGCGTTCCCGCCACTCTCGCCCCTTCGTCCCTTGTCCCCGGCTCCACTGTAGCACCTTCTCTCTCCCCTCCCACTCCCCCCTGCCGAACCGTCGTGCTTTGCCTCGTCACGGGGGTCGCGTACCAAACGCGTTTTCTCTCTCTCCGCTCCTTCGAGAGTAACGCGACCTTCTTCTCCGATGATGTTATTCGCGAGCTATTCGGTCGGTCGTTACACGACCGTTTGCACACCGTGTTATTATTTCAAAAAGCCCCGCCAACTCCGGGGATTCGCGATTAAGAGAGGCGGTAGGGGGGCATTTATTCAAGCGCGATTACACCGGTGTCGTGACACGGTTTCGAAAATTTCGGTTGGCTCGAGTGTGCAAAGGAGGAGGATCGTTGAGATTGTTTCGGTTTTATTCTCTTTTTTTTTTGCTTTTTTGCTCGTTGGATTAAAAAGGTTATCGAATGATCGTCGTTGTTTTTCGTCGGTGTAGGTGGCGCGAGCGCGCGCTCTCTCTCTCTCGCTCTCTTTTCCCGCCGTTTACACGCGTGTATGCGTATATCGTTATTTAACGGCTCGCCACTTTTTCCACCGTGTACAGAGGGGGGAAAAGAGATTTAACGTGCACACGTGATAATGCATTTTATATTTATGCGCCGGGCGAAAATTTAGCATGAAATGACGGTGCGTTGCTCGTCAGCACGGAAAATCATTTATTGATTTCCGATAACGGTGTTTTATCTTTCGTATAAATATAATGGCCACTGGTAACGTACCTGGTGAATACGGCACGCCCTATTTTTCGCCGACGATCTTTCTCACTGGTGCTACATTTGCAGATCTGTAGCCGATTAGGTTGCGTTTGACAGGAATCGTAACTTTCGAACATTCTTACGTTTGAGCACTTAGGGTGACGGTTCGTTGACAAAGTTTCGACGAAAAGACGACTTCACTACTGCGCAATACGTAACGTAACGATACACAGTCGTTTCCACTTATTTCACATTCACCGAACAAAACGCGACGCGAAATTCAAAATTGACATGGAACGAACCAATATCGCGCACGAACTAACAATTACGAGTCGAATTGAAATCCGTTAGAAACATCTATACCGACATCTGTTGGCGCCCGCTGCATTCAAACGACGTTTTCAGATTAGGTGGCGGTGTCGTCTGCATTCGGCAACATGTCCGCCATGTCGTTGATAGGTCGCTGTTTTGCCAAACAGATCGCCGAAGTTTGTTGTAAAGCGGTTTCAGTGTCGTGTCAAGTGCAGCCAAGTAGGAATCAATGGAATCTGGTGAAACTTCCGAAACCCGGAGAGAAAGGAAAGAGCTTCCGGAGGATCGTTCACTACAAAGATGAATACACAGTGCAGCCTTTAGAGGTTACAAATTTGGGAGGCAGAGATCCCGCTACAGGTTCGTGTATAACTTCAATTTCATCGGCTCCTGCTCATCTTCGTTATACTTTGATAACACGTCGAATCCAACAACGTGAACTTTAATCGGAATAAAATAGTTCTCAACGTACTAACTCATATGGTGTATGCATCTTGTTTCCGTTCTACCGTAGAACCACATGTCGGTATAACAGTTTTCCAATTTGGCGGGAATCTCAACTTGAATTTTCACACATTTTCACAAAATTTGCTTTCGATCGAAAGTTCTTTACTTTAAACGTTATTTATACCTAAAACAGGAAGAGTAGTGGGGAAAGGTATCGGCGGAGGTATCAAACACAAATACCACTGGATCAAATGGATTAGGGAGGGCCCAACCGATTTGAACGTACCGCCAAGAGAGGACAAGGTTTTGGCGATATTGAAAGATGGCTGCAGAACGACGTCCGTCGCTCTAACTGGATTTGGCCGTGAGTTGCAGTACATCCTTGCCACGGAGAACATGAAAGTTGGCGATATACTTCGTACTCATCGCGGTATCCCTCCAAACCCCGTAAGACCGAGGGAAGGTGACGCGTATCCATTGGGAGCGTTGCCTAAAGGAACAATCGTGCATTGCGTGGAGAAATATCCCGGTTTGGGAGGTTTTTTTATTCACGCTGCCGGAACTTTCGCAACGGTATTGAACCGAGACGGTGTGGATCGCGTCGTGATCAAGATGCCAAGCAAGAGGGAATTCAGTTTGCACGAAAGCTGTATGGCGACTGTCGGTAGATTATCGAACGTAGAACACAACAAGATACCTATCGGCAGCGCGCAGAAAAACAGGGAACTAGGAAATCGACCGAGGAGCGGTCTATGGCAGAGAAAAACTGGTCGCTTCGGTCGGAAGTTAAAGGCTATTCCGCCTGTACGTAGGATCGAATTCACTGCAGACTGGCAACAAAAAACAGTGCAGTACGAATTGAATGTTACGAATTTGAACGATTAAATATTCAACTGTATCCAATAAACGTTCCTTTATTGTACTCTTTTTTTATTGTCAACGTTGCTCGATCTTACGATGGTAATACCATTCTGTAGAGTTTTATTCGGCGTTCAGAAAGACAGATATGTCTGCACCCAGATTTCTGATTCACGTAGTTTCTAGTGAGTTCTAGTCGTAGAAATTCGCGATACATCGTACTGGAATTAATTCCAACTCGCCGGATACATTCTTTTTAATATTATACATATTCTCAGACCAGCGTTTCTGAGAGCTGTTCAAAGACCTTTGTTGTAGTACACCGTTCGAAGGCCAGGATCTTTCGAGAGCACCTGCTCCCGTACTTCCGGTTCCAAGTCGTCCACCGAAATCGGCACTCGTTGAACGAAAAGAGCACAGCAAAGCGGCGTGGCGAATGTTAAACAGATTCCACAAAGCGCCACTTGTATGGGTACCACAGCCCACTTTGCGTTACGTAGCATTTGTTTTCGGTCCATGAAGTTCATTATAATAGGCGCCAGTACTGGAACAAGTACAATCAGAATCACCGTATAGAAATTATTCTAGGGAGATATACTGTCCGATTGAATTTCATTGCTTACTCATGCTTGGCGAAGCCATAAGAATGCGAGACAGTGTGACCGCAGCGATAGCCTTTTTAGCGGCGTATTTGCTGTTGCCAACTTTCGTACCCTCCTCCGTTTGTAGCTCGATACCATTTTGTAGTTCTGACATTCTCATGAAGGGGATGTTCACGCAGTTGGCAGCGGCCACTGCCGCAAAAGGTACCAGTCGACCCACCAGAGGTGGTGCGCTGCGGCAAAGTCGATTTAAGCCTAGCGCTGTTACCACAGCTCCTCCCGTAGCTGCAGCGTAGCTTTGTAGAATGGTGTCCATGGGGATTGGGCTTGAACCGCTGCGATTTGTGTAATTTACGAGGGCGTTGAACGATTGGTTCACCCATTGCCAGGTGATCACGTGTGCTGTGGTTCTGGGGAAAGACGAAAGAAATATTTTCCGAATTTTAAATAAAAAATCGCCTACTTTTCTAAATCGAAAATACGGAAATGGAACTAAAAATCCACCCATTGCCAGGTGATCTGGGAAAAGACGAAAGAAATATTTTCAGAATTTTATCTATAAAATCTCCCATATTTTCATTCAAAAATATTGATCAAAATTTCCCGACGATTGACATTTGAATCTATTGTGTCGTCTCTGGATCGATTCTCTCCCCTCCTCCCACCGTTAATCACCCACGCGAAAACGTGATTAGACGCATACGCGTGTACTGATTTTGAAACAAAACCGGGTTAAAGGTCCCCGTTTATCTGTCGCCTAGTCGTTCAAGGTCGTCTCACGATAAACCGTTCTCGTTTCTTCCATCGAATTTACACATTTGTGTGACCAACGTCACTCGGTATATACGTACTTATAGAACGTCAACATACATCCTGTGATGAACATGTTCATAGGAACTTGGGCGCTCATACGTCCTATCAACAGCATTTTCTCGCCTGTGTCCGGGTGATAAGCACTGTCGTACAGGTATTTGCATTTCCATAATTCGTCTTCCGTGATACCCAATTGCTTCAGGTTATCCCCTTTCCTGTTACAAACACAATACACACATCCAATAAGCAAGTTAACCCTTTGACTCGTAACTTTTTCTACCTATAATATTATTATATTACCATACATTATTGATCATTTTCAGCTTCGTAAAATTCGAGCTAAATTTAGAATTAAATTACTGATTAACCCTTATGTCAATAACCAGAATTGTCGTCTACTTGATCGTCCAATTTTAGTAGTTTCCTGATAAGAAAATTCGAAACTCGAGGCAAACACGACGATATGGCCGGGAAGATGAAATATTTTAAGTGAGAATTATCCAAAATGGTACCCGGTTATCGACATAAGGGTTAATATCATTTCAACACCATACGAAGCAAGGCATCACACTAAAATTAATACAACACCTTTTCTCACACCTTCACCAATACTTCCAAGGTATCAGCACACGCTCGATCCTACTCTACCGCAACCACATCACTCTTACCATTATCGTAGAAACACCGCACACGTTAAATACCTGTACTTGGTGACCACGTCTCGTGCATGCTCGAATCGTTCAGCGCCGACGAACAGATTCAAAGGGTTGGTGACGGTGAGGAAGTGCAACGCCCTACCCTGGTACGTGCTCTGATCCCAATAGGGTTTCTCTATATCGATTCTTTCCTCGTTCATCAGCGTGCCCTTGCTCCCCGACATCTTTGCTGCTTCTTTCCCACTCCTAGCTATTCTCACCTGCTCCTCTCCCATCCTGCCACTTTTACCACCCCACCACCACGCCGTACCGGTTTAGTCGAGGATAAAGCAACCTCGTCGGGCGTCTTCTCCTCGATCCTGACGACTCCTCTTGGCGTGATCCTCACGAGAGGACGCTCGACGATGCCGCTACTCTCGCCGCGACCACTGAACGCTTCATCGCGTTATCGTTTGATCCAGACCTCCGCTCGCTCCCCTCCCCTCTCCCTCGACCTCTCGATCCCTGCTTCACACCCCCTGGGGCGCCTCGTATCGATAACGCGGCCACGCGTGCGCAACCACCTGCAGTACGAATTGAATGTTACGAATTTGAACGATTAAATATTCAACTGTATCCAATAAACGTTCCTTTATTGTACTCTTTTTTTATTGTCAACGTTGCTCGATCTTACGATGGTAATACCATTCTGTAGAGTTTTATTCGGCGTTCAGAAAGACAGATATGTCTGCACCCAGATTTCTGATTCACGTAGTTTCTAGTGAGTTCTAGTCGTAGAAATTCGCGATACATCGTACTGGAATTAATTCCAACTCGCCGGATACATTCTTTTTAATATTATACATATTCTCAGACCAGCGTTTCTGAGAGCTGTTCAAAGACCTTTGTTGTAGTACACCGTTCGAAGGCCAGGATCTTTCGAGAGCACCTGCTCCCGTACTTCCGGTTCCAAGTCGTCCACCGAAATCGGCACTCGTTGAACGAAAAGAGCACAGCAAAGCGGCGTGGCGAATGTTAAACAGATTCCACAAAGCGCCACTTGTATGGGTACCACAGCCCACTTTGCGTTACGTAGCATTTGTTTTCGGTCCATGAAGTTCATTATAATAGGCGCCAGTACTGGAACAAGTACAATCAGAATCACCGTATAGAAATTATTCTAGGGAGATATACTGTCCGATTGAATTTCATTGCTTACTCATGCTTGGCGAAGCCATAAGAATGCGAGACAGTGTGACCGCAGCGATAGCCTTTTTAGCGGCGTATTTGCTGTTGCCAACTTTCGTACCCTCCTCCGTTTGTAGCTCGATACCATTTTGTAGTTCTGACATTCTCATGAAGGGGATGTTCACGCAGTTGGCAGCGGCCACTGCCGCAAAAGGTACCAGTCGACCCACCAGAGGTGGTGCGCTGCGGCAAAGTCGATTTAAGCCTAGCGCTGTTACCACAGCTCCTCCCGTAGCTGCAGCGTAGCTTTGTAGAATGGTGTCCATGGGGATTGGGCTTGAACCGCTGCGATTTGTGTAATTTACGAGGGCGTTGAACGATTGGTTCACCCATTGCCAGGTGATCACGTGTGCTGTGGTTCTGGGGAAAGACGAAAGAAATATTTTCCGAATTTTAAATAAAAAATCGCCTACTTTTCTAAATCGAAAATACGGAAATGGAACTAAAAATCCACCCATTGCCAGGTGATCTGGGAAAAGACGAAAGAAATATTTTCAGAATTTTATCTATAAAATCTCCCATATTTTCATTCAAAAATATTGATCAAAATTTCCCGACGATTGACATTTGAATCTATTGTGTCGTCTCTGGATCGATTCTCTCCCCTCCTCCCACCGTTAATCACCCACGCGAAAACGTGATTAGACGCATACGCGTGTACTGATTTTGAAACAAAACCGGGTTAAAGGTCCCCGTTTATCTGTCGCCTAGTCGTTCAAGGTCGTCTCACGATAAACCGTTCTCGTTTCTTCCATCGAATTTACACATTTGTGTGACCAACGTCACTCGGTATATACGTACTTATAGAACGTCAACATACATCCTGTGATGAACATGTTCATAGGAACTTGGGCGCTCATACGTCCTATCAACAGCATTTTCTCGCCTGTGTCCGGGTGATAAGCACTGTCGTACAGGTATTTGCATTTCCATAATTCGTCTTCCGTGATACCCAATTGCTTCAGGTTATCCCCTTTCCTGTTACAAACACAATACACACATCCAATAAGCAAGTTAACCCTTTGACTCGTAACTTTTTCTACCTATAATATTATTATATTACCATACATTATTGATCATTTTCAGCTTCGTAAAATTCGAGCTAAATTTAGAATTAAATTACTGATTAACCCTTATGTCAATAACCAGAATTGTCGTCTACTTGATCGTCCAATTTTAGTAGTTTCCTGATAAGAAAATTCGAAACTCGAGGCAAACACGACGATATGGCCGGGAAGATGAAATATTTTAAGTGAGAATTATCCAAAATGGTACCCGGTTATCGACATAAGGGTTAATATCATTTCAACACCATACGAAGCAAGGCATCACACTAAAATTAATACAACACCTTTTCTCACACCTTCACCAATACTTCCAAGGTATCAGCACACGCTCGATCCTACTCTACCGCAACCACATCACTCTTACCATTATCGTAGAAACACCGCACACGTTAAATACCTGTACTTGGTGACCACGTCTCGTGCATGCTCGAATCGTTCAGCGCCGACGAACAGATTCAAAGGGTTGGTGACGGTGAGGAAGTGCAACGCCCTACCCTGGTACGTGCTCTGATCCCAATAGGGTTTCTCTATATCGATTCTTTCCTCGTTCATCAGCGTGCCCTTGCTCCCCGACATCTTTGCTGCTTCTTTCCCACTCCTAGCTATTCTCACCTGCTCCTCTCCCATCCTGCCACTTTTACCACCCCACCACCACGCCGTACCGGTTTAGTCGAGGATAAAGCAACCTCGTCGGGCGTCTTCTCCTCGATCCTGACGACTCCTCTTGGCGTGATCCTCACGAGAGGACGCTCGACGATGCCGCTACTCTCGCCGCGACCACTGAACGCTTCATCGCGTTATCGTTTGATCCAGACCTCCGCTCGCTCCCCTCCCCTCTCCCTCGACCTCTCGATCCCTGCTTCACACCCCCTGGGGCGCCTCGTATCGATAACGCGGCCACGCGTGCGCAACCACCGCCCATTTTGCACCGCGTTGCCCCGTTCCGCGAGAGATGGTGGTACCGTTATGTTCGAATTTCGGCTTTTTTCGGGGTAGTAATATTTTTTTCGTATTTGAGAGTGGAGAAAGATTTTCTGGGCGGAAACGGGAGAGGGTTGGGTGTTTGGGAATGTTTGGCGGTGGTTGGTAACGGAGATAGCGGAGGGTGGCGGTCGATTTCATCCCTTAGATTGCTTCCTGCACCCTGCAAGAGATGGAGACACTTTTTACTCCATTTCTCGCGAAATCGATGGAGATTTTTTGGCCTGGTGTGTTATCAGTGGAGCGGTACTCTTTGTTGAACCTCTCTCTTGTGACGAGGAGTCACACTCGGTGTGAATTTTGTCAAAAAGTGGCATTTCCCTCCTCAGCATTTGCATCCTCGTTTAACGCTGTATCGTGAACAGCCGACGTTATTGAAAAATCGCGCGCCAGAGGGTTAAACAAATCAGCGGTTCGACGGTTAAAGTTCGCGTCAAAATGTAAATGTTTCTGGTTAGATATCGCCGGTCTGCAACGTACTCTTATCTCGCCTTACTTAACAAGTAGGAACGATTCCCTGTCGCTCTCTGGCAACTCTTCACGCGATAATAATAAAAACACTGCTCTGTCAATGTCATTGACGTTCCAGTCGCGTTCGAGCAAATCATGCTTCCTATTCGAGCCGATCCTTGCGCGATATCTACACCAATCACGATCTCGTACAACGAGACGTCGAGTGGAATCTATCGGATAATGAGAAAAACGCTAAACATACACGTCGTTGCGATATTTTTACGTCCAACGGAATGATATACAACGGTTGAAGTATCTCTACCGGCAGGCAGGCTGTATTTGCTTATCTGTTCACAAGGAAATATGCAAATCGCAGGGTTCGCGTATTCCTGATTGACTAAACCTGTCCATTTTACGAACAGGTAGGTACATTAACGCGGACTTGGCCTTCTTCGCAGTTTGCCCACTCGTGAACAAGGTCATTTTCGATTTGTAAGTTCATCGACTGTGTTACGATTAAGCGGCGAACTTTCTATACGTCGATCCGGTTCCCGTTGTAATAACCACGTGTTAATCTGAAAATTCGCATTACGATTCCTCTTGCTTCGGCAACCGGCAATTAATCCACTCGTCGTTTATTCAATTTTTTTCTCCGACTCTGTTCGCGATTTCTCGACCAAATCTACGCCCGATTTATTCGACCGGCGCCGATTAGGGTAATCGATGTCGCGTTCCATTTCACTCGTGAATTAACGATACGCTCTACGAGTTGCTAATAATTAAACAGCGGATAATCGTGAATTTTTCACTTTTATTCTTTTATATCCGTTAGTGAAATACTCTCGTCTCGTGTTTCTCTCGGAATTTGCAGGAACAGAGGCGAGCATAGAGAAGAACACCCAGATGTGTAGAATAAAAATTGAAAAATTAGCGGATCAACGGAAGAAGTGTAACTAGGAGTTTTCAAGTGATTACTTTCTTCCAAAGAGCAAGCAGATCCCCGTATTACTTACGGAACGTCTCGTAGCACGCTCCACCATTATTACCGCTTAATTCCTCGGCAGCGAAGGCTGTAACGATAATAGAAAAATGGTTAATTGCCGCGGTAACTGAGGAGCACACGTATTTGCAGTCCAACGGCTCGTAAAGGAATGTTCCGTTGAATTTATTAGCGTTCACCGGCAGCCAACTCAACCTCGAACTCGAGCGAACGCATTTGCTGTTCCAATTGTATTTCATTCTGCACACTTCTGATCGAGGAAATTTACACCTTGCAAATCGGCGATTGCTATTTTTCCCTCGTGGTAAACGAGGTTATTAATGCCTACAGACGCCTGGATAACACGTTGAGCGCCAATGTCAGTCACCGGCGGACTGACACTATGCCTTCCGTTCGGCTATTTTTCCCTCGTGGTAAACGAGGTTATTAATGCCTACAGACGCCTGGATAACACGTTGAGTGCCAATGTCAGTCACCGGCGGACTGACACTATGCCTTCCGTTCGGGCCGCGTCAGTCACCGATGACTGACAGTATACTTTTCGTTGGTCGTCTTCTGTTTATAGTTCGCATGGCCCACTTGACGGCCAAGTGCGGCCTGAACGGAACGGTAAGCAAAACAGGCTGGGCGTTCAACGTGTTAAAGTGGGACATGGTGCAGTAGAGGCACTATGAAATGTTAGTTCACCTATTCAGCCGATTACGGCGCGAACTGGCTCTCGTTCGCACCGTGGCCCACTTGCCCACCTCTGCCATAGCTGTTAGCACATGCAACTGAAACCGAAAACGAAAGGCACGACGCTTTGGCGCACGCGTAAATTCCAGTTTGCTCGATCGTCGGGTAAGAGTCGTCAACGATGGCACGCTTCATTTTCCCACTCTGTGTGCGTATAATCGGTTAATTCGATCGGCGAAACTGGCGTCGACTCGGGGCGATCTTCGTTAAAAAGCTCGATTACTTATCGGGAATGCTCTTCCTTCAGGTAAACGAGAGAGATCGGGATGTGCAGTGTAATCGGTAATTATCGAGGTTTCTTTGGTTTTTCACGGTACACGTTGAACGATCCACGCAGGTTTTTATCGGACAGAGGTATTCAGGCCGTGAAAAATGTTCACGCATCCATGGCACACACGTGTCGCGAATGGCGAGGAGACAGTGTAATTTCGCCGATTTTTACGAGCTGCTTTTTACACGGAGGACAGTTCTGCCTCACCTAGTGGCATAATTCTGAGATCGTCACCTCGACCGGTGAAAATACTGTAATAAAATCGTAACTGTAGTTGTTTTTCCTGTGAATTTTGTCGGGGATACATTGATAAAGGATCGAGTTGCGAGCGATGCTTTCACCGGAATCGATCTCTTTTCTTTTCCCCTTGATATTTCAGCGTTTTAAGTAGTGAATTCAGACGTTGTTTGCGTTTCGAGGATATTCTTGCTCGTATGCAAATAGAGGCCAAGTTGGGCTGGACGATAAACGAACCGTAAACAGAAATGAAACGAGCTGGCTGACATGATGGATGTTCCTTTTCTTTTCGACGATTTCTCAACGATCACTCTGGGGTCCGCGAAACAATAAAATTATCCGCGAATTATGCAAACCAGAGAGTAGGAAATTACGCTGGTTTTAGAGGTTGGAGAATTTTATTGTCCCCGGGTGATTTTTCTTTCGAACATTCGTCCGGTTGAAATCTAAATTTGTTGGACGAAATGTAGCGCAGTGGTTTGACATCAATCTTTACGCTGCTTCTAAGAAAGATCGTTCGCTATTATTTCTTTGATGGAACGAGCATTGTTACGTCCTCGTTAATATGTAGTCGCTCATTTATAGGAGGTACGTGTATGCTTTTTGCAACTGGTGTATAAAGGGTGAGCCGCGTCAAACAGGCCACCTGATTATGTGCTCTAGCTATGGTGGGACGAGGATATGTTTTAGAGGTAATTTGAATGATTTAAATGGGTAAATAAGATGGAAGAAAATTTTTGGTTTTTATGTGAATGTGTATATTTTGTTTTATTTTGTGTTGCTGTAGACATTGATGTGAATTTACGTATGCATAATGATACGATCATAAAATGATCTTAGACTTTGAAAATTTTAATCAAATGTGACACTTTCTTTCATGCTTTGCCATTTCTTCCATGAAAAGAATTCTAAAATTTTCATTTTCTTCCACGAAAAGAATTCTAAAATTTTTACTTTCTTTCATGAAAAAATTCTAAAATTTTCATTTCCTTTCATGAAAGGAATTCTGAAAGTTTTATTTTCTCCCACGAAAAAAATTCTAAAATTTTTACTTTCTTTCATGAAAAAATTCTAAAATTTTTACTTTCTTTCATGAAAAAATTCTAAAATTTTCATTTCCTTTCATGAAAGGAATTCTGAAAGTTTTATTTTCTCCCACGAAAAAAATTCTAAAATTTTTACTTTCTTTCATGAAAAAATTCTAAAATTTTTACTTTCTTTCATGAAAAAATTCTAAAATTTTTACTTTCTTTCATGAAAAAATTCTAAAATTTTTACTTTCTTTCATGAAAAAATTCTAAAATTTTTACTTTCTTTCATGAAAAAATTCTAAAATTTTTACTTTCTTTCATGAAAGGAATTCTGAAATTTTCTCCCACGAAAAAAATTTTAAAATTTTCATTTCCTTCTATCAAAAAAATTTGTCTTCGACTTCACTCACCCTTTGCACCCATATAAATTACATATGCAAATTTTCTCACACCACCACAGCTATGTAGAGAAAAGAATTACACAGCCTGCTTCACATATATAATATTCTCAATTCTTGTTGGCTGTGTATAAATGATTGGTTATCGATACAAGTTCACTACTACTCTGATAACAGCCAAAGAAACACTACACATGTTACAGATACTTTCTCGAGCTATTATCAAACTACTACATCGATCAATTCGTCCCCTTGTTTCTCCTCTCGTTCATTCATTCCACGAAAATCCCTCGACTCCTCTGCAACATTTCTACAAACCCCCATAATCCGACCTAAATAGTATCAACTTTCAGCTACAATTTATCCGTTTAAAAGTATTTATCCCAATTTGTCCCAATTAACGTCAAATTTAACGCTAATAAACAATCTCCAACTGTTTCACCCTCTTAGCCCACCAACATCCAACCGGTCTAAGATCGAGAATCAATGTTGCACCTTCGTTTCCAAGATCTTTTCACCCACTGTCTGCTCGATTACGAAACGATCGACGTGAACTGAATCCGAATTATGACGACGATCGACAGCGATCGATCTTCTTCACCCATCCGGCTGATAAATAGTCCCATTGGCTCGCGATGTGTATCTAGATCGGGAGATTATCGAGACGCGTATCCTGCCGATAAGTTGAAAACTGGGTCAACGTGTGATCAGCGTAAGCAGGTTGCGTCGCGACTGCCTAAGATTCCGCCTTCCAGGCATCGGCATCTGGTTCGAATCTTGGTCGTTCGCTTTGAAGACGAAGCCGCGCCTCTCGGTGCACTTTTTGGGAATTCTCGCGAGTGAAAGGCACACTTTGCTTCGCGGGAATCTTTTCGACACGGAGCAGAATGATCGACGGTAAAATTCGTATCTTCGACTTCTGTCGATGGTGTTGTTGGTATTGGACTGCGATACGAGTATCAGGAAGCGAAGTAAAATGACGCGTTTACAGGTCGTCAGGATTAGATGTAGGTTTAGTCAAATTTTATGTTTCGTCTGTCAATCTTAGATTTTTCAAGAGTGTGATAAATATTTCGTAATAGTAGAGTAGGTTTATGTTGTGTCGTGTAACGTGAAATTAAAGTAATTAACGAATTATGCGAAAAATTGATCGGTGAAAT